TCCTGCTGAGTAGCAAACCTTCTTTCCACTGAGAAAGACACAAAAGCCGTCCTCCACTGGCTGTATTATCAGGGCTGGGGAGCAGAAACTTTTATCAACCCACGCTGCCTAACCCTTGCTTCTCCACTGTGGTGGTTGCATCTCCAGCCAGCCGTTATCAAGCTCTGCTGTGACCAACAATGGCACAAATGTGCCATCTCCAGGAAGAAGGGGGAGCGTTCACGAAATCTGTGATCTTATCTAACCAAGCTGCTAGAGAACCAGATATTAGAGGTTTTCCTTAATTGAATGTATATTTTTATTCATTCTCAAATTGTGAATATATATGAAAACAAACGTCCAAAAGTGGCCACTGAGGAACAACAGAGTAGTGCCGGGCCATCCTCCTGCACTTCCCCGGCACACACAACTGCCAAATCCTAACTCAGAGGAAGAAAAAGTAAAATAAATTATCTGAAAATGGAATGGGACTAGCTGCAAACCCTCTGATCACATCTGACAGGTATGCTGGTGGCAAGGGATGCAACCAGATACACCAAAGTTACATGCCACACAAGGGAATCTTCCTGCTAAAGCTAATCCAGCAGAGAGCACCTCTTGGAGGGGACCATCTGACAGCCTGGCATCTCTGTTAGGGGTGCCTTGAGATGGTAACACACACGCGCACACACACACACACGCGCACGCACACGCACACACGCGCACGCACGCGCGCGCACACACACACGCACGCACACTCTCTTCCCTCTATCTCCTTCTCCTTTTCCCCCCACCCCCGCCCCCAAAGCTATTCCAGGTTGGATCTCAGGCATAAACACAAGTGAAGTTTCGATACAGTAAATACATACATCCTCCATCAAAGGCAACCCCAATGTTAGTAATAGCAAACTGAGTGAACAGAGAGACACGCAGCAGACATATGAAAGCCACTGAACACCTGTGGATAATGAGAACCGGAAATGCGCTCATTAGCTGTGTTGAGGCTCCCCTGCAGCCCCCCACATCTTCTCTTTCTTTTTCTTTCCTTTTTTTTTTTTTAATGCTGAGCCTTCTTTTAAATTTATTTATTTTTATTTTTGGCTGTGTTGGGTCTTCGTTTCTGTGAGAGGGCTTTCTCTAGTTGTGGCGAGCGGGGGCCACTCTACATCGCGGTGCGTGGGCCTCTCACTGTCGTGGCCTCTCTTGTTGCGGAGCACAGGCTCCAGATGCGCAGGCTCAGCAGTTGTGGCTCATGGGCCTAGTCGCTCCGTGGCATGTGGGATCTTCCCAGACCAGGGCTCGAACCCGTGTCCCCTGCATTAGCAGGCAGATTCTCAACCACTGCGCCACCAGGGAAGCCCTCTCTCTCTTTCTTTACTGATTGGCACAGAGACATTGTCCAGCACAATGCAAGGAGTGACTTTCTTAAATATAGAGGTAGCAAGGAGGCTAGGAAGGTTGCCTGGCTGTGAAAAGCCATTTCATTCCAGTTAATAAATATACGGCCTAACAGAGCACTTTAGCATCCACTCCATAAAAAGGGGTTCGCTCTCCCAACTCTCAAGTTCAGGATTGGGAAATGAAATAGAAAAGTGAGGCCGTTAGAAAGAAAGCAGGAGGGAGGAAAATCATAAAGTTATAAAATGAACTTATGCTCAGAAATGTTCTGGATCAGATCCTGATCAGACAGATTTCTCGGGAAAGAATTGCCTGGCTGCCCTTGGAGTGAGCGCACTGATGAACTAAGACGGTTTCTCTCTGGTTGGGTTATCCCTAAATTATTGCATGTGGGAAATGAACCTGATTCCCACTTCGGGATTTGGAGCGGCAGTGCTCCCGTGGCCATTCAAAGGGCATATGAGCTCCACCGAGGGCTCACAAAATCTCAGACAGGCGGTTAACAATATCATCGTGTTAACTAATCGGATATTCCTAATGCAGCCCTACTTGGAAAATTCATAGGCACGAACGTGAAAATAAACTGAGAGTGCATGCTTACTCAGCTGTTATAAAAATGGAGGAAAATGAGATTAAAGAGGAAAGGAGAATAAATCATTGTAATTTATAAAAAGTATGATGCTGTGTGGCTGTAAAGTCTGAATTCTTTCCAAACAGCTCTATTTCAGAAGAGCATTTTTATCAGGCCATAGTCACAAAAGCAACTCATGACCAAGTGAGACTGAGAATCAGACCTAAAACAGGGATGCGCGTTATAGTCAATAGGGCAGTTATTCTTCCCCCTAGAGAAGAGCTTCTTAACTTCTTTGGCAAGAAAAGCACCAGTTTGGGAAAAACTGGGCTTTGCCACACTGTCACTTTGGAGAGAAGATGCCCTCCATGTTACAAGCCGCGTAAGGGTTCTTTCCTCGCCTTTCCTACCCTGCTTCCAATACAGCCTCCAACTCTATATCTAGAAGCCATCACCGTGCCTTGTGTGCTGCCTGTAGCTCATTTCGCTAGAGGAGGCATTTGGCAATGGCATTTCTCAATCATTTCCCTCCCCCAGTGGTTCCCAAGCATCAGTCTTCTCATGCCACCTAAGTAATTGCTGCCACATCCCTCTGCAACTTGGGCTATGATTTAAATAACAATTTTCTTAAGGTGACATACTTTATTTCCCGAAAGAAAACTTCCATCTAGAGTTATCACGTGCAATCAATGGCAGGTAACCATACAAATAAAAATAATATATACATTAAAGAATATGTAATAATAGTATAATTAATACAATGTAAAAAAATTACATAAATGTTCTTGCCTCTCTATGCTTTGCCAAAAAAAGAGATTAGCCAGTGTTAGAGAAGCATTAAGGATAATCCTGACACCAGTCTGAGATTCTGACCTTAGAGAAATCAGAACTGAGAGAGAATGGAAAAGGAACTAACTTTCACACAGAGCAACTCAGTATTACATAATGTCCCATCTGGGTCTCCCCTAAAATCATCTCTGATGCCACCATTGGTATGTTTCCACACTTTGGTAAACACGGCCAAACCCTACTCGGTTTAGAAGTGTTTTGGATCCTGAGTCCCAGTACCTCAGGGCTCTGCCCTTTGCCAACAGAATTAGAAGAGGAGATAAAAGACTAATAAAAAAACAGATTGAACACTCGTCCCAGATTCATGGTTTAATAGGAGCTTTGACAAATCAGTGCCTTAGTTCAAAAGAAGACTTCTCATCATACCGGGAATTTTGGTCCACATAAAAAGACCAAGCAGAAGAAAGGTCCTGCTTGCCTCCCAGTTTACGTTCCCAAACCTTATGGAGACTGGCTCTTCCTCCGTACTGACTCATCCACTAACCACAAACTTAATGAGCACCCATGGAACACGGCAAAGATGGAAACGGGCAAACGAAGCTAAATTAAATACAATCTTTGGTATCCAATTAAGTGTCATCTTATCCTTTAGCCTCTTAACTGAAAGGAAAAAAAAAAAAAAGACATAGAATTTTTTAATATTCTTACAGAGAAGACACTCTTTAGTGCCAACCCAGAGAATCCATTTTCTAGGACTCAAGGAACAGTTCCTGCTAATCTTCTTATCCAAGTTTTATCGTGGCAATGGGGAGAAGTAAGAGGCTTCCTCATTATACCGTGTCTTCAGACACGTAATACACTTGCAGAAGAGTGAGAGAAGCTGGGAGGAAGCTGAGGGTTGATGTAGGTATGCTCATTATAGGAAAAGGGCACATCTTAGACTGAAAGGCATTCCTCCCTACCCACAGACTTCCTTCATAAAAGAGATGTTTGCTTTAAGGAAACTTCTGTGCCCCTGGACATAAGCAGGCTTCCTTTAATGGCTAGAATTTTAACATAACACACAACCAGAAGAGCTGGTCGTGCTAGTTGACAGCAGTGTGGTTAGAGAATCATGACGGATGGATGCAAAAATCACAAAGGCAAGAACTCCTAAAGGGTACTTTCTAAAGAAAGATTTGTGATTTAATTCAAATCAGCCCTTAATTTTCAAATTTTTAGAGCAGAATTTTCACTGTCCATTTTCCTGTCCTGAGATGCAGATGTCTGAGACCACCTTTTCCTATTACTCTCAAGGGGATTTCAGTAGTTTTGAAACCAAAACATGGCCTCCATTTCCTCTTCTTTTCACTTAGAAATCATGCTGACACATCAATCATCATTCAATCATTCTACAAATGTCCTTTAAGCCTTTGCTTGAGGAGAACTTAAAGTAGAGCTAAATAGGCATTTATGTTTTAAAACTTAAACAGTACTTGACTAAACAGACAGTAACTGGGAATAAGAAGCCAGAATGTGGAGGAGTGCATTGTGGATTACAGAAAGAACCATGGAGGATTTGGACTAAGGTTGGGGAAGTGTGGTCCAGATTGATTTG